CACAGCTTAAAGGGACAGAATATAGTACTGCTTTTTCTGGTTCTGAAGGGGTTTGGTAATTTTTGTCCTGATATTCTTTCATACATATCTGACAGACATATTTCATGCATCTTTTTTAGTTGAGGAAATTATTTTCGAGAAGTCTTTGTGTCCTTTGTTTCATCATATCTAATGTTTTATTCTTCCATTTTGTGAATTTATATACATACTTACTCTGGTCTAATGATCTCTGTGATATCATTCCATACTCTGTTTATGTTCCTGCTTATCTGCTTATAACTAACTCATTCATTTCTTAGAATTATGAATATTCTTTAACAAATGTTCATATATCATATGTCACGATATGGCAGAGATATTGCCGATGTGACGTTAAATATTAACTCACTCACTCACTCATATATAATATTTTATTTGTGTCTGTAGTTTCTTCTTGTATTTTCGCACAAAATAGTGAATTGACTATTGCATAATATGATTCAAATGTGGACAACAAAGTAAAATTTTATTTTATTTTTATTTTGATTGTTTTCAATATGCAGCTCTTCGGTTCATCTATGTGATGAGTTTACATGTACTGGGTAAAAAAACTATTGCTTGGTTCTTTGTATTTAATGTTTTTTTATTTGTATGTTTTTGACAAGTTAATATTTTGTTTGTTCATAGCCTGTCTGTTCTTTACTGTCCCTGTTAAGGGTAGGGTAGGATATGTGAATGGATGCTGTGTCATCACATATATTACAGTCATAGTCATTCTGTATGGTCTGGTGGGTGGGTTGCTCCAAATATCCGGTTTTATCCCTCTCTGAAGACAGCCTGTCTATATTAGGCTACTGAACAGTGATGGGTAGGGTCTTCAACCAATCAGATGTCAGCCTTCTAAACGAATAAGTTCATTTCTTGACATCTTTGATTTGAAAATTTAATTTCTAGAAAATGTTTTTAAGTTTTAAACATGAATGCCAGAGAATAATCAATCTTCATTGTCTGCTGAAACAGATTCTGTTCACGTTTAAGCAAAGTAGTGTGGAAAATGATACAAAAATCAGTGACCATACCAAGTGTTTGAGAAAGAAACCTCGCAGAGATCACATTTGATGTAACCTGCTGTAGATGCCGTAGTACTGAGAAACGATAGGTGTGTTAGAGATCTAAGACAGTTTTGTGTTGCAGTCTTTGTTTTCAGAAGCTGGTCTTTGTGACTGCTTATAAGAGATACAGACATCAGATATGTAGTCTGAATAATGTGCATGGACACTGATTGGTTGATTAGAAACATCACTGTGGCAACCTCTTGTGGAGTTGTTAGATGTTCAGCTAGAGAGGCATTTGTCAGTAAAGGATCTGATTTGACTGTGATTGACCCGAAACATAAGTGTTCTTTATAGTGGCCCAGTTGTTTAAAAACAAAGTCTGTCTGCTGCAGCAATACCATAAAGCTGGGACCTAGTGATAATAAAAGAGAAAGTTACCTGTTTGAGCGGGAAGAGTAAAAAAACCAGTACATTTTACATCACAATACTTCAGCAAAATTTAGGATGAGAGCACAGATTGACAAAGTGCAGAGCAGTCGTCTTCTGGTGAAACTTATAAATTTTATATGTGTAGGCAGACCATCATAAGTGTTGTGAATTCAGGTGAAGGTGGATTTGAACCCACAGCCATTGGATCCTGGCACAGCCAAGGGATGTAATTCTGAACAGCAAACTGTGATACTTCAGGCCACTCATCCTCAATAAAACACCCCACCCCACCGATAAACATACTCTTCTCTGATTGCAGTTAAACAGTAATCTCTCAACCTATTATAACAGCTGAATTCCTTCACATCTTAACATTAAAAGGCCATCCCTTCTGTGTCTCATATATATTTGGCTGTTCTTGGTTGGTTATTATGTTCATATTTGTCATCAGTGATTGTTCTTGGATATTAATTATAGCTTATGGGGATGTGCCAAGACCTTATGTTTAAATAATAGATACATGTAATAAACTTGATACAGGGACAGTTAATCTTTATATATGACCGATGTGGGATAAACATTGTGTGTGGACATGTTATTCAATGAAACATTGATACATACTGCTATATTAAGCTTAAAGGATACCTGATTCTTTCAAATGAAAGAGGGTTTTCTATAACTTCCTGTGACTAGTATACAAGATAACTGTTGAACATATTGTTAAATGATATATTTATATTACTTTTTGATGCATGAGTTTTTTACTTTAGTTCTGTTATGACTGCACTGATGGATTGATAGTATCACTGCTGTAACAACTGTAATAGGCCAAGATGCTTTTATGGAACTATCTTGTATAGGAAAGTGGTGGTAAATATGGCATGTTTATTGTTATAGCACAGACTTTGTTGACATATTTCAATAAAGCGTTCTCACAAGAGGAGCATGTTATTTTTCTTATGGCGTTACCTGATACCATACATGTCATGTGGTCGTGAACATGGAACATTAATTAAGCACCGCCTGAATGAAAGACAATCTCTAACATTTTGGTGCCAAAGGGCAATTATTCCCCAGCATTCTGGAACTCACATGTAAAGGTTTCACACAATGATATATCAAAGATATGGGTCACATGTTCACATGCTGGAAAGACGCAAAGCACATTGGGGTATAAATTTCATAACAGCAGTATGTGCATTGCAGTTTTCTGAACTGATTTAAAATATGACAGTACTGAAAAAAACCTTGTCCTATTCTGGCAAGTAAATGGCATGCATGACCCAGAGATGACCTGTTGCAACATTGGCTCTAACATTAACCGCAAGGTCATTCGTCGACTTGTGACGGAGCACATGGCCACCGGTGAACTAAAGGAGCACATGGCCACCGGTGAACTAAAGGAGCACATGGCCACCGGTGAACTAAAGGAGCACATGGCCACCGGTGAACTAAAGAAGCACATGGCCACCGGTGGACTAAAGGAGCACATGGCCACCAGTGAACTAAAGGAGCACATGGCCACCGGTGAACTAAAGGAGCACATGGCCACCAGTGAACTAAAGGAGCACATGGCCACCGGTGAACTAAAGGAGCACATGGCCACCGGTGAACTAAAGGATCGGCAAGACCTGGAAGCCCTCTGACCATAATGACTGAGTCCTAAGTCACCTGGCACGACGCAACCTTGTTCCATGTCCCCGAAGAACTGTATTGGCAACAGAGAGTGGGAGTCCGACTCTCCATCAGTACCATCAGACTGAGGCTGCGAACTGCTGGTGTGATGGAACCTCATCCAACCAGACGTTCCTTCCTCAGAGATTGTCACAGTTGGGAGTGTCTGGTGTGGTGCAGGCTCCGAGAAAACCACAATTTGAGGACATTGCATAGGGTACATTGGTCTGATGAAAGTTGCTGTCTTCTGCACGTAACTGACAGCGGTTATCGTGTATGGAGACGTCGTAAGGAGGCATAGAACAATGAGGTGATGTGGGGTTCTGTTTCGAATGACTGCAAGTTAGATCTCATTACAGTAACTGAGACACTCAATGGTCAAAATTATCAACAGGAAGTACTGGATATCGGCCTCACTGACCTCACTGCCTTCGCATTGTCATCGCTCATTTGCAAAACAACACTTATTAAAACATGTTTATATATTATTAAATATAATTCATGAATCCCACTGAGCATCATTAGGGCTTGAGATCTTCCTCATCAAAAGACCGCCTCGAGGGTGTAGTGGTTAGAGCGTCCGCCCGGAGAGCGGAAGGTCGCGGGTTCGATCCCCGACCACGTCATACCAAAAGACATTAAAATATGGTACTTGTTGGTCCCTGCCTGGCTCTCGGCATTAATGGGTACAACAAGGACTGGTCGGCTCGGAGTCAGTATAATGTGTCTGAATGGGGTATTCATGCTTCACTGCGGTATGGTATCTCAGTGGGCTAGCACTATAAAACCAGCTTCAGTCTGGGCTAGTACAAGCAGCCACACATACACATACACACGCATGCACGTCGTCATATAAGCGAAACATTCTCAAGCACGACGTAAAACCCAATTTCACCTCACCTCACTCTTCATCAAACTATTCAGGAACCATGCTCTCAGACATTTGCATGTAATCCTCCATACTGCAGGTAAATTGTTACCAAATTTCAGTTTCAGTTTTGTTTTTGCAAAATATGTTACAGTTAAACAATTACTGTATTCATACTTAGAACAACAAAAGTTTTTTGTGCTTAAATATTGCTCATGCTTTTGTTAGGTGTGATCTAATTTTACTGTGATTCATATTGGAAGAAAAGCAAACTTACATTGATGATTTGATGATTGATCAGTTGAGGCCAATTGTCAACCGCTCCCCAATGTCAATAAACACGATGAACTACAAGATTATTGCCTCATTTACTTTTGTCTTTGTTTACATTTGCTAGGGCAAGCAAGAGAGCCATGTTTTTGAGTTTGAATCCCACCCATTTTGTTCTGGGGAGGTAGGGGGGTCAGCAATTTTGTACACATTTACTAGGGGGGTCAGCAATTTTGTACATATAAATATTAACAAAGTATGCTTCAAAATTATGGGATGGGGAGGGCAGTGGTATTGATTTTGTACATGATATGCAAGGGGTGGTCACTTACTTTGTACCTAAATTTTAGTGGGGGATCATTCACCTTGTACATGCTTTTGCAAAAAAATTAGTTAGAACTGTTCATGGCAACCAACCCATTCAAGTCCGTCGTTAATAAGGGGGTTTATGGATCGGGTGGTCAGCACCTGACTGAGACATCATTGGCTTGTTTGGTCCAGGCTCGATTATGTACAAGCCACCGCCATAAAGCTGGAATATTTCTGTGTGCACTGAAAACCCCCCGAAGTAATAACAAGTATCAGCTTTAAACGTCTTTTGGTACAACGTGGCAGAGAATGGGACCCCGACCTTATGGGATACCCCTATCCACTGGAAAACAGTGTTGGTCTTGACAATTAATGGCATGGACTTCCATGGTTCTGAAGGCTAACACGGAACAGGATGAGGTTTACCATTATTTACTGGTGTCACGTTCATGGCCCTGGAGTGACCTGATTCTCAGTGTGATATTGGCAGAAAACACTGATCACTGTGGCATGTTTGTATTGTTTATTATTATGTTGATGGTGCTGCGGTGGTGGTGATCGAATTCTCAAAGTGCTGAGTCTGCAGGATGAACAACACTGTGAGGAGCTGAAAGATGGAACGTGTGTTAGAAGGAAGCACCATTCGTGAGCAACTCATGTTATTCCGGTTGTCTAACTGGCTACAGAAATGGACAATTCGTGACGAACCGGGCTTACGAGGTAGAGACAGTAGCTTCATGTTGAGAGATAGTTCAAGGTGAATGAAGGTCGTATTTCATATTTTCATCAAGATTTAATTTAATGTGGAAATATATACTCAGCAGCAAAATAAACGTCAGTACGAATTCAAAATTATATAGGCACTGTAATCAAATCATTACAGAAATGGACATAAAGCGGATCAAAAACATTTTTTGTGTACAATATCTTGACACATCAATGAATAACTCGGCACAATTTCAATACATTACGTGTACGTTTGCAGTCCATTCAGACTCTTGACTTCAGTATCTAGTGTGACCACCACGAGCGGCAATAACTGCAGCACAGCATCTATGCATGGAGTGCACCAGTTGATTGATGAAGGCCATTGACACCTGGAACCACACTCTGAGAAAGGCCTGGCGCAATAAATCGGCTGTGTTCGGCCTTTGTATGACATTATTCAGTCTCCTCTGAATTTCATCCCAAAGATGTTCAATTGGGATTAAATCAGTACTAAGGGCTGGCCACTGCATAATGTTGACACTGTTCTGCTGTAGGAAGTCATGCTGGAAAATGTTGTTCCGGTGACGTGTGAAATGTGGTATGAAGTGGGGTCTGAGAGCTTGGTCGATGTACCGCACCGCTGTGATGTCGCCTCCTCTCCCTGGACCAAGGTTCTGGAACACCACAGGACCCACTCTCTTGTTCAGGCCTATTCCATGCCATACCATGACGCTTGCACCTCCCAATGAGTTTCTTTCCATAACACATTTGTTTGAGTAACGCTGGCCACGTCGTCGCCATATTGATACGCAGTACCGACTCTCATCTGTGAACAGAACAGTTCTCCATTGCCTGTATCGCCAGTTTTGGTGTTGTAGTGCAAACTGTAGACGTTCACGCCGATGACGAGTGGTGAGGTAAGGTCTAGGGCAATGGAGGTTCCCGCTGTTAAGACGTCGGCGTTCTGTCTGGCGTGCTGTTTGGGATGCCTGCATGAAGAGATTTTGTACATGCTGTCGCACAATATGGCGGTCTTGTCTCGTGGTGACCCTTGGTCTGCCAGTACGGGGGCGATCATTTGTGGTGTTGGTGGCCCAGAAACGTTGCTGCAGCCTGTAGATTGTCCGAACGTTGACCTGGAAGTGATTGGCAACGGCTTGTGCAGTGTGGCCCTCTTCAAGTCTTCCTCGCGCCTGGTTCCTCTGAGCTGTCGGGAGAAGGGGCATCCTGCTGACGTTGTAATGTGAATGTTTCAACCAGGTTTGGGGGTGCATTTTATTGGGCTGGTCCTTGTGAACAGCACGTTCAGCATGAGTTGCATGAAAAACATGGAGCATACCGTACCATCTCCGAGATCAGGTTGCGTTTTTGGGACCATTTCCTGGGTTACATTATGAGTTTGGGAAGGAATGTCTTTGCTCAAGTAAAGTTGGAATGTTGTCAACAATATACAATCAAAACATTAAATGAGTTTACAGTTATCCGTTTCTGCGAAGGAAAATCCCAAACTGACGTTTCGTTTGCTGCTTAGTATATACTGAAAGTGGGAAAATGTCCACTGCAACTCATCGTATCACAAGGCCGTGGGGTGTTCCTCATGCTATCAGTCAAAGATATATACTGAGTCAAAAGAGAAACTTCACATTCTTTCTTAAGGGCACTATAAAAGAACAAGAGATGGTAAGATGGTTACATTGTTATTATACTGTATATTTCATTGCTGAGATTTGTGTGATGTCCTCGATACACTGACAGTGCCATAATCAGTTCCATTAGGCTACACCGCCGTTCAAAAACATGGGTATGCAGAATGTCAAGTCACAAGAATAAAAATGCGAAATTTCTCAGTTCAATATCGTGTATGGCCACCCCGCGCATTCACCACTGCCAAACACCGTCTCCTCATCGACTGCCTGATGCTTGTGAACACGTGGTTGGGGATTCTGCGCCATTGCTCTTGCAAGGCAGCGCCAAGCTCCTGCAAATTCTGAGGTGGGTTCCTAAGACCACGAAGCCTTCTCCCAAGTGCATCCCAAACGTGCTCTATTGGATTAAGGTCAGGGGACCTCGATGGCCAGTCCATGACGTTGATTCCAGCGTTTTGAAGGAAATTTCGTGTCAACATCGCGGTATGCGGCCGAGCATTATGATGCTGGAACTGTAGACCTGGGCCATGAGCCGCCATGAAAGGAACGAGTTCAGGGGTGAGGACCTGGTCGCGGTAAGCAGCAGCTGTGAGGTTTCCACGGATGACCAGAAGTCGGGAACGGTTGTTCCCACAGAAAGCACCCCACACCATGCAACTTCCGCCCCCGAATCTGTCGACTTCCTGTACACAACATTGGGCATACCGTTCACGACGTCGTCTCCAGACTCTATGCCTGCCGTCCGCGAATCTGAGGGTAAACCTGGATTCATCGCTAAAGACGACTCAATTCCAGTCTCTCTGGGTCCATCGGAGGTGACGTTGGGCCCCCAGCAGACGTTGACGCTGATGACACGGCGTCAATATTGGCCCACGATATGGACGTCGAGAATGGAGATTGGCAGCCCGCAACCGATTTCGAATGGTCTGTGAGGACAGTCGACCTCTAAACATCTCAGCCCTGGTTCGTGTAGCCGGCAGAAATCTGTCACGTAGGTGACGTAGGACGATTTGACGGTCTTCTGCTCGTGACGTCACACGTGGACGACCCGACCTTGGGCGATCAGAAGTGGTGCCAGTTTGTTGTAGACGACCTCGCAAGTCATACACAGTACGACGGCTGCATCCCATTGCTCTTGCGACGTCAATAACTGATCTTCCCGCTTGCAACATGCCAATGGCACGTTCACGTTGCACATTTGACAATCGTGGCATTTCAAGTACCGTTAGAACTGTGGTTTAAAAGTGTTTTTTTCAATCCTTGAGGCCAATGCAAACACGCACATATGAAGAAAACTTCGATGCGAAGATCACGTGATCGACTGCACGTGCAAAACCAGATTTGGCACTAACGTCATTTGCACGACGAATGGATGGGTTTGAGTGGGTTTTGCTAACGTTTTTCTAGAGTCGAAAGATAGGGATCCAATTTCGGATGCATAGATGTATCATCAGAGAAAAATTATTCATTATTTTTCAAATTACATTTTGTGAAGTTTCTTTTTTGACTCAGTATATATTTGCTGAGTCAAATATTCAATAGCAAGTGTATTCAATAACAAGAAGGACGACTAGACGAGCCCCCCCAAAAAGTTTGAATGTTATACCAAACGTGAGAAATGTTTCGCATGAAGGTTACTATTAAGTTGATTTTGTGTTCAAGTTTAAACACTATAACAATCTGAATTATCTGCATTAGGCATTATCGATACCGGCAGGACACACACTTGGTCAGGTCTCTGTATATGTTACAGTCAGATTGTGAAATGACTAAAACTTTCAGTGATTTCGTGAAATAACTAAGAGGGTCAGCCATTCAACTATCCCTACTGCCCGTTCTCTTTCTTCCTGGGTTAACCTTGGCATTCTCTCTGTGTGACTTTATGTGTAGTGATATTGCAGTGTTGGACAGGCCATTTATACTGATTTTTCGCACGATCTTTCCCATGTATCCGACTAATACATTTGTTTCGTGTTTCTGAGAGTCGGGGCCACAAAATGCGTTTTGGCGATTTGTTTCGTGCATCGCGAACATTGGCAATCGTTATCAAGCATATTTACATCAATTGTGGTGGAAACGTCCAAACCTATTTATATAGCCAATAGCGAAATGGCTGATCCTCTTAGTCATTTCACGAAATGACTGATTTCACAATCTTACTTTGTAACATATAAAGCTGCACTGCACTGCACTCCACTATTCTGCAAGGAGCAGAGAAATTTAGAATTGAAAAATATACCCGAAGACAAAGATTATTGTGAAACAGTAACAACGAACAGAGTGTTAAACTTTTACTGCCGCAAATGAAATGATATTACATAGGAAGACAAATGTTTCAATGTATGGTAACGATCAACGGCCCATTAGAACAGCGCACTTGGCATATCTAGATGAGCCACAACACGAGGGGGGTTTACATCGTCAGTAGCGAGTGTGTCCATCCTGTGCATTGATGCAGGCCTGACACCGTAGCCTCCTTAATGCCACTGGGGCGGTGGGGAAGCTTAGTGGTTAAAGCGTTTGCTTGTCACGCTGAAAACCTGGGTTCGATTCCTCGCATGGGTACTATGTTTGAAGCCCATTTCTGGTGTCCTCCGCCGTGATGTTGGTGGAATATTGCTAAAAGCGGCGTAAAACTAAACTCACTCACTCCTTAAGGCCACTATACGTCAGTGAAAGTCCTCGGAAGATCATTCCAGATTCGAGAAAGGATTTGACGGAGTTCCAGCAGCATGCTTGGAGGATTCCGATGACGTCGTAGACGTCGCTCCATTTCATCCCAGATGAGTGACATACAAAGGGCATCATGCAGGCCAGGGTAACACATCAACATTGTTTCTGATACAGATACTGTTGTGCTACTTGAGCAACATGTGGTCTGACGTTATCACGTTGAAACGCCACTCAACGGCCGTTCTGTTGCACAAACGGTGAAGAGGCATCTCACAGAATTCAAGTTCTCTACAATCACAATCATTGGCGTCCTTGCTGTTATTCCATCCCAGATCATAAAGCCCCCAACCTCCAAAATACCCCCTTCAATAACACATTGCGTGGTGCAACGCTCACCAGAGCACATGCAGACACGTGTTCCGCCGTCAGCTCGGTAAAGAAGGAAACGTGACTCTTCGGTGCAGAGAACTCTTCTCCACTCACGTGCTCGCCACCACAAGTGTCTGCTTCCCTTGAGACGTCGACGTTGATGTTCTCGCGTCTTAACTGGCCGTCTGGCTGGGCATCTTGCACGGATGCCGTAGGCGCGAAGACGTCATCGAGCTGTTGTCGCAGATACACCGCTGTTGCAAGGTATGGTACAAGCTGTAAAGGTTGCTGGCTAGAACTTGTGTCGGAGGTGCGTGGTTCGAATCCATAGGTCTTGACATGGGTTCGTTAGTAGTGGGAGGCCACTACTGGGGACGATCTATAACTTGATTGTTTAGTTGAAGACGCCGCAATAAGTGCCACGCTGCGAGATACCAGGCTGAAGCATCCGGATAGATATCCATTTGTCATTTCCCACAAAGCTTGGAATGTCGAACTTGATGAACAGAGGCGTTGTTTCACTTCTGCAGTGGTCAAGACTGCATGGAGTGGAAATGATGAGCCTCTGGTTGTCAGGCCGTTTAAAATCAACACTGCTTGCCGTTTTCCTCGATTATGTCAAATTTCGTGCAATTCGAACAACTGCTTTCTCCGACCATTTTAAAACGCTTTCTTTGGTTGAACTCTAAAACATCATTCTCAAGAAAACCAAAGAAAATATTCCAAGTCACAATAACTTTTGCCTTAAGTATATAATTGTTAAGCCCTTGTTTCATGTCATCTACCTGTTTGTAGTAAGCCTTGAATTCTTGCTTGTCGACAGTTCCGTCATCTGTAAACATATGATGATGCATTAGTGAAATTACTTTCCAGGAAATAATATCATGATTATAGTAAATTCAGTTTCTGTATTGATGACTGCATTTCTGGGCTGACAAAACGTTAATAATCATTTGCGAGTACAGGTCTTTCAAGGTGAGGGTGAGTGAGTGAGTGAATTTGGTTTTACGTCGCTTTTAGCAATATTCCAGCAATATCATGGCGGGGGACACCAGAAATGGGCTTCACAAATTTTACCCATGCGGGGAATCGAACCGGGCCTTCAGTGTGATGAGCGAATGCTTTAACCACTAGGCTACCCCACCGCCCCTCGATCGGTGAGGTATCAGCAGTGTACAATCTAGTTCGGTCTTACTGTTAGGCTCAAACCCGTGAAGGTCCAGGTTAGAATATTGGCCTTGAACGCCGCATTCAATATTCCAGCTGTATGGCGGCAGTCTGTTAATATCGAGTCTCTACCAGACAATCGAGTGATCAACAGCATGAGCATTGTTCTACCCAAATGGGATATGACGACATGTGTCAACCAAGTCTGCGAGGCTGACCACCTCATCCCGTTAGTCTCCTCTTGCGACAAGCATGGGTTGCTGTAGATCAATTCTAACCCGGATATTCACGGGTTATCATCAATTTCATATCCATCTATTCAATTAGTCACGATCTTAGGTTTCTGGCGTGTCGAAAAGACGCTTCTCTGCCCTGATGCGAGACACGAGTCTATACTTATAGACCAGCTGTAATGACCCTGGATATCACTGTGTTGTAGGGGCGGTGGGGTAGCTTAGTGGTTAAAGCGTTGGCTCGTCACGCCGAAGACCCGGGTTCGATTCCCCACAGGGGCACAATGTGTTAAGCCCATTTCTGGTGTCCCCCGCCGTGATATTGCTGGAATATTGCTAAAAGCGGCGTAAAATTGAACTCAGTCAGTCATTGTGTTGTAGAAGACGGAATTGTTAGCTACTGTTTTGGTCCATCCTGTTGTAGAGTGCGTCCAGGTCGGAAGACGTCACATTACCGCTCTGGTCGTCGTCGTACTCCAGGAACAGGGCGTCTGCGACGATGTTGAGAGTTGGCTCCGTCACCCCCCCAGTGGAAGTCGAACTCGGCCCGGGTTACCTCACCGTCTCCTAGAAACCAACACAGACCGTGGACACACGTGATTTGTATGTTGAAGGGTGGGTTAAAAACAAACAGGAATATTTTTTTTCAAAAAAGGAAAATAAGCATTTGCCTTTTTTCTATATTCTAGGACGAACTTGATTTGCTGTATATTGAAGGGTAGGTTACAACAAACAGGCATTTTTTCAAAAAAGTCAGAAGCATTTGCTTTAGTGTCCCCCGCCGCAACGCGAAACGGGGGACTATGTATTCAGCGGCGTCTGTCCGTCCGTCCGTCCGTACGTCCCGATTCTTGTTAACGCGATATCTCATGAACTGTAGTACCCAGTGTCTTCAAATTTGGTGACAGACTACAATGGGGGATTACGCAGACACCAGTTGATTTGGGTGACCTTGACCTTATCTTCAAGGTCACCACGACACTTTGAACACTTTTCAAACTCTTGTTAACGTGATATCTCATGGACTTTTATACCCAATGTCTTCAAATTTGGTGACAGCCTACAATGGGGGATTACGCAGACACCAGTTTATTTGGGTGACCTTGACCTCATGTTCAAGGTCATCACGACACTTCCACCACTTTTCAAACTCTTGTTAACGCGACATCTTATGGACTGTTGTACCCAATGTCTTCAAATTTGGTGACAGCCTACATTGGGGGATCACGTAGACACCAGTTTATTGGGTGACCTTGGCCTTATCTTCAAAGTCACCATGAAACTTGACCGCTTTTCAAACCTATTTAAGCACAATATCTCATAAAACATTGCACCCAATGTTTTCAGTTATGTTGACAGCCTGCATTGGGTGATTATGCAGACACCAGTTATTTCAGGCATCTTGTATGTGACCAAAATATTAAAAGTAGTAAATATAGGTATTCCTTTCTTTAGCGGCGGGGGACATTGCCATATCAGTGGCAAACACTTGTTTTTCATATTTAAAAAAAGCAATTGCAATAGAAAATGTTATTTGTTAATTTATCCCCGGGCGTGACTAATCATAATTCATTGATAAAGAGTAGTTCTTTCTGAACACTTGAGATAGCTGTCAGATAACATGCAACTTGTGTGACTGGAGAATAGACAACCTATCGATTGCCATCATTCGGCAAAACCGACCAGCTAGTTAAAGTGAGTGAGTGAATGAATTAGTTTATTTTTACGCCGGTCTGTATATAATCGAGGCAGACAATCCAGTGATCAGTAGCATGAGCATATATCTACGCAATTGAGTGAGTGTATTTGGTTTTACGCCGGTTTTAGCAATATTCCAGCAACATCACGGCGGGGGACACCAGAAATGGACTTCACACATTGTACTCATGTGGGGAATCGAACCCGGGTCTTCGGCGTGGCGAGAGAACGATTTAACCACTAAACTACCCCACCGCCCCTCTACACATTTGGGATATGATGACATGTGTCCACCACGTCACCGAGCCTGACCACCCGACCCCGTTAGTCGCCTCTTACCATAGGTATGGGTTTCGGAAGATCAATTCTAACCCGGATCTTCACTGGTCAGATAGTTTAAGGAAACGTTTGAATGGTGTTGGTACTGAGCGAAATAATCACACCGACGCAGAATATAGTTACAAATTCTATCCCTGCCTGGACCATGATTGTCCATGTCCCCTAGGGGGTGAGTGAATGAGTGAGTATAGTTTTACGCCCCTTTTAGCAATATTCCAGCAATATCACGGCGGGGGACACCGGAAATAGGCTTCACATGTACCGATGTGGGGAATCGAACCCGGGTCTTCAGCGTGACGAGCGAACGCCTTAACCACTAAGCTACCCCACCGCCCCATATATGTCCCCATCTGGGGATATAACCGTTCGATTGCCGCCATTGATACGCTACACTTACCGTCAGTGTCGTAGTCATGGATGAATAGTTTCACGTCACTCCTGTCGAATTTTCCGTTGTTGTTGGAGTCAAAGGTCTTCCACATATTGTCTGTTTCCTTGTTCACGTGGGCCTCCCAGGCCGTCACCGGATCCGTGTCACTACAAGGGGAGATAAGCATGTTAGAGCGTACCTGTATATGATGAACAACGGGGAGAGTTCTATGGATATACAACTTCTTTATTATCAATATGAGCGACGTTTCGGTGTAGCTGCTAACACCGTTAGCAAGCAAGTACATGTACATGTTGACGGGTCAAACTCGATTATTTACGGATACCGTCCGTATGCGAACACGTTTATGTGGCGTTACAAAAATAAACAAACAATAAGTTCCGGTGGGAAATAAGGAAATTGATATACAGGCAGTGATGCATGTGATAACCTATCGATCTATAGGCGTAGTCATCATAGGAGTAAACTCTTTAACCAGACAATCAGTGAGAAGCTTACAATTACCGCTACGCCGAATTGAATCGTTTGGAGATTTTTGAAAATTCGACGAGCTGATGGATATTTTTAATCAAGTGTCAGACCGCGTGTCAAATGCATGGTCGTTACTGTGACGGGATGATGATGATGATTTAGAGATTTTTCGTGTGTTTTCCAACATAATGCCTATTTTGCACACAGTGTTTTTCATACGGTTAATTATGTCGATTCATAAGTCACGTGACATTGACTCGTCCAATGGGGAAGCCGTACATAGTGATCTTCGTTGGAAACGACTGCGGATTGGTTTTATACGAGGCAAGTGTTCTTACCCCAGCACACAGGGCAGGAGGAGGAACAGGGCGTACTGGAACATCGCTGGAACACAGAACACACAGCTAGTCTTTAAGTCTTAACCCAGTCTCATCTAGGGATTACCGTACATACTGTAGTGTAGGTTCGACCTCATATTGGTCTCATCCATATTTCACCTCATGCTTGTTTCTGTTGTTTGAAATCAGTCACATTCCGTTTTGACGAACTTTATGTATGGAACTTGCGTTTTCTCGAAGTTAAAACTTGGTCCTTGCGCATTACTTACTCAGTAATTAGTTTGCGGTTGTGTCACCCCGGATAGCTCGAAGTACATATGTAGGTCCCGTCAACTTATACACAACGGTGTTTGAAAGTAATATATTTTACTCTGACATATTTGTTGCTGCTGGTTATTGAATATGTTGTGTATATAATGAAACGTAATTTTAGGTTTTTGATGTGTTGAAACTTCACCAGTAAACAAAAACGAGTAAATATCTTCCAACATTTTCATAACTGGGTATTATATATTTGGAAACTGAGCCTGTATCTCGATTCCGCTAGTAAAGTCTTTTGCGCTCTGCACATGCACACTTTCATTCACACCTGGCCAACCCGACATTATAAAAGTACCTACTTAATTAAAAAAAAATATCGTCGGTGCAACTATGTGATAACGCTTATAAAAAATGACTTTCATCGGTTCTAAATATAGACTAAATATAGACAGCTGGAATAATGCTGAGTGTGGCGTTAACAACAAACAAAATGCAAAGTGTTCATGTTTGCTTTGTTGATCTGTGCATGCACGACGATGTTGCTGACGTCACAAACTTGAGGTCAGGATACACCTTCAATCACATATTTGCTCTACTGTAAATGTCAAGAGTGTGGTTTTGACGTTTTAATATCATTGATTAAGTGATTTAGATTTATGACTCAACTGCAATGTATAAGATATCTGTAGTGTGGGTTCATATATGTTCAATGTTTATTCAATATATATTTTTAATATTTTAGACTTGTCTGTTTTCTAGACAGCTGGTTCAGGGACTCTTCCCTTGGCTGGTTGTTTATCGTGTTGACTAAATCATGGGCTTGTCAGGGATTTTTCCACGGATTTCCATTTGAAGTTCTTAGTGGATAGTGATGCTGCCTTCCTTTACTAGAATTCTTGAAAACTGTAAAATGCTGTTTAAACTTGGTTGTTGCGTTGTGCGGCGGGACCCTAACACACAGACTTACCACATCAGATTTAGTGCACACATCTGTCACATTTCAAATTGGAGGCCAAACCTGCTATGAGGAAATTTCAGATTTTGAAAATTGTGTTGAATCACTATATTGATGAAGTTTTGGACATGAAGTTTTGGAAATGGTTAAAGAAGAATGTTTGACCAATGGGAAATGAAAAAACTTGAAATTCAGTTACAAATTCAAAAAAAGAAAAAATAGAAAACAGGAAGAATTAAAAAGGCAAGAAATGGAATTAAGAAAGTTTGAAATGAGAAAGACATAGCAATAAGAGAAAAGAGAGAGAAGAAGAGAAATTTAAGAAAACTGGAAATTGACAGAGAAATTGAAAGGCATGCAAGACTGGTACCTCCTTTTAATGAGAAAGAAGTAGACAAATACTTTCTACATTTTGAAAAGTTGCTGAACACCTCAAGTGGCCTAGGTGGCTCAGCAAACTGTTTTGAAGGGTAAAGCTCAGGGATGCTTACTCGGCCTTGTCGATACAGGAAAACTCAGGCTATGATCTTGTCAAAGGACACTTTTAAAAGCTTTTGAGTTAGTGCCTGAAGCTTATCATCAGAAATTCAGAAATGCTTATAAAGGGACAATGAGACTTTTGTAGAATTTGCTAGGGAAAAGGAAACCGGCCGAACTAATGGCCATTTATTAACCGTAACACTATGAATATGCGCAACTCGGAAATACGGGTTTTCTGTCAGTTATTTCCTTGTCATAATTGACAAGGGGAGATAATGGATATTTCTCATGAGATTATTCTGTAATCGGCCAAAAACATTATGCCACATATAACGTTATGTTAGATCGCGTGCGATATGTCGTTTTGCTTTTTCCATTAGCGATATAGGCAAATGAATATAGTTTTACTTGACAGTTAGCAATATGCTTGCAATATCCCAGCCGTTGACACCAGAAATTGGCTTTAAATATCGTAACCATGTAAGGAATCGAACCCGGACGTTCGGGGTGACAAACAAACGCTATTCCCACAGAAGTACTTCTCGTTTATGAAACATACTTCTCGATGTTTATGAAACTGACCATTAGTGAATAGTAGAAAGAGTAGCAAACTTAGATAGTTTTTAAAATCTCACGAAGTTCTGTTTCGATATAAGAAGGTACATAAGTACTTAAAAAAATTATGAAAATATTTTAGCCCCTATCACGAGTCTTACCTGTCTTAATGGTGAGAGTTACGAAATGAACATATGGCGGGAGAAGGAAAGCTGGTATGCTTCGCCACGTGACATGGGATTGGGGAAATATTTAAAAACAGTTGAGATAACGATTAACTCTGGAATGGAAAAGAAAATCTGAAGGAGACATACTACGAACTATTGTAGCATTAACTTTTGAGCGATAACCCCTTGGCCTGAATACCGTTTTCTCGAAATCCCTACTTTCCAGACAAATCGTATCTGTACAGTATAAATTATTTGTGTCACCAGCACTGTCTGCGTGGTTTTAAGAACTGAATGAGTTTGTACAGCAGGAGTGTGTGAGTGAACTTAGTTTTCCGCTGCTTTTAGCAATATCCCAGCAATATCACGACGCGGGGGACACCAGAAATAGGGTTCACATATTGTACCCATGTGGGGAATCGAACCCAGGTCTTCAGCGTGACGAGCGAACGCTTTAATAACAAGGCGACCCCACCGCCCCGTACAGCCTGAGATCCGACGTCGTGGGTGCACACAAACTTATGAATTTACCCTTCAGGACCCCGTTCCTCAAAGCGATCGTAGCGCTCGTCAGTCGTACGTCTATGTTAAAGTATGGGAGTTACGATCATCTTAGTGCTATGATCGCTTTGGGGAACGGAGCCCAGATCTGTGAGTGAGTAAGATTTTATGCCGCTTTCATAATCCGGCAATAGCGTGGCAGGGGACACCAGAAAATGAGCTTCACATGTTGTACTCATGTGGGAATGAACTCGGAAAGCCCCGTTAAACCAACTGCCTGACATATGCTCACCCGTGAGGATCCGGATTAGTCCTGGTCTTCAGTAACCCATGCTTGTCTCAAGGGCGACTAACAGGATCGGATGGTCAGGCTTGCTGACTTGGTTGACACATGTCATCATGTCCCAATTGCGTAGGTCAGTACTCATTATGATGATCACTGGATTGTCTTGTCCAGATTTGTTTATTTATGGACTGCCGTCGTATAGCTAGAATATTACTGAGTGCGGCGTTAAGTAAAAAATAAATCAACAAATCAACGCATGCTTCACATACAACGCGTATTTCACGGTGTGAGCACAACATGCATCTGTCCGAAAGCACGCATCCCCGTGATATTACAAAACAACACTGGTCACTGGTTTATGTTTTTATTATTGTTTATCATTATGTTGATGGTGCTGCGGTGGTGGTGACCTGATTCTCAATGTGCTGAGTCTGCAGGATGAACAACACTGTGAGGAGCTGAAAGATGGAACGTGTGTTAGAGTCGGATGGCAAGCATTCAGGACCAACTTGTGTTATTCCGGGACAAGCCGAACTGGAGACGAAGCGTTAGCGAGTTTAGTTTGGCTTTACGCCGCTTTAGCAATATCCCAGCAATATCACGACGCGGGGACACCAGAAATGGGCTTCACACATTGTACCCATGTGGGGAATCGAACCCAGGTCTTCAGCGTGACGAGCGAACGCTTTAATAACAAGGCCACCCCACCGCCCCGTACAGCCTGAGAGGACGTCGCACACAAACAAACTTACCATTCAGGACCCATTCCTCAAAGCGATCGTAGCGCTACGTCGTCGTACGTCTATGTTAAAGAATGGGAGTTACGATCATCGTAGCGCTACGATCGCTTAGTGGAACGGAGCCCAGATCTGTGAGTGAGTAAGATTTTATGCCGCTTTCATAATCCGGCAATAGCGTGGCAGGGGACACCAGAAAATGAGCTTCACATATTGTACTCACGTGGGAAACGAACCCGGAAAAGCCCCGTTAACCCAATTGCCTGACATATGCTCACTCGTGAGGATCCGGATTAGTACTGGTCTTCAGTAACCCATGCTTGTCTCAAGAGGCGACTAACAGGATCGGGTGGTCAGGCTCGCTGACTTGGTTGACACATGTCATCGTGTCCCAATTGCGTAGGTCAGTGCTCATTATGATGATCACTGGATTGTCTTGTCCAGATTTGTTTATTTATAGACTGCCGTCGTATAGCTAGAATATTACTGAGTGCGGCGTTAAGTTACAAATACATAAACAAATCAACGCATGCTTCACATACAACGCGTATTTCACGGTGTGAGCACAACATGCATCTGTCCGAAAGCACGCATCCCCGTGATATTACAAAACAACACTGGTCACTGGTTTATGTTTTTATTATTGTTTATCATTATGTTGATGGTGCTGCGGTGGTGGTGACCTGATTCTCAATGTGCTGAGTCTGCAGGATGAACAACACTGTGAGGAGCTGAAAGATGGAACGTGTTTAGAGTCGGATGGCAAGCATTCAGGACCAACTTGTGTTATTCCGGGACAAGCCGAACTGGAGACGAAGCGTTAGCGAGTTTAGTTTGGCTTTACGCCGCTTTTAGCAATATTACAGCAATATCACGGCGGGGTACACCAGAAATGGGCTTCACACATTGTACCCATGTGGGAAATCGAACCCAGGTCTTCGGCGTGACGAGCGAACGCTTTAACCACTAGGCTACCTCACCCTATACAAGAGAGACTGGCATAAGTAAACAGTAGGGGTGGGTATTGCAGAGAATTTTCATATTGCGATATATTGCGATGCGAAAGCATGTATTGCGATATGTATTGCAATATATTGCATGAAGTATTTTTACACAAAAAACTACTTATAATCGAGTTACTTCTTGATTTATAGAGCAAAAACACAACAAAATCACTATGCTTGATTAAGCTTTAATAACAACTTTAAATCATGATAAAATAGAAATATGAATAATATTTGGCACAAATGAAACAAGGACATATCCGAAGATTTCCGAGTGTTACGAAGTTTTCCGAATGCAAGTCAAAATACTGGTTTTCGATCAGCGTATCGCAATACGTATCGTTTTTATGTCTGAACTGGTAAATACCGGTAAACCGGTCATATTGCGCAGCCCTAGTAAACAGTAACAAAATACGATATACACTTTCGGTTTCAGAAAGGTCACATTTTGTTTATGAAGTAATAGTTGAAAACAGTTGAAACCTAGTTTACGATGTTTTCCCTAATTACGGAAACGGAAGGGTAGCGTCACGATCCTTACACTTTTCTTAGCAAATTTAAATTTAATTTTGATAACGGGAAACAACCACATTTCTGACACGGAGGAAAATTGAAGGAAATCTGCATGTTCACAAAGTGTGGCATCGCACTTCACTTCATTCAAAGTGTGAACGATTGACACTTGATTTGGGGTCTAAACTTAAATCAGAGACCATATGATAGCTATATTATATGGTCTCTGCTTAAATGCAAAGGCGTTCAAAGGATTGCAAGTTCAAAGAAATTTTATAAAAGTGATAAAACTCTTTCCATTTTTGAAGAAAGTATCTGTTCTAAAAGCAGAGCCTAATTATTGTTTCAATATAACGATGACTCAGCGTTCCTGACAACTATCCAGCTATGACGCATAAGAAACCCTTATTCCGCCGATGAAATACATACACATGTACCTTGTGGTGGTCTTCCCTCATGCTACCTACCTGTTTGTAGTAAGACTTGAACTCATGTTTGCTGACAGTTCCGTCATCTGTAAAACACATGATGTATTAAGGAAAATCATTATCAGGAAACTAAAATCGCAGAAATATCATGAAAAATCGCTAATTCAACTGCTGTCGCAATTACTGGAATTCTGGGTTGAGGAGATAGTCGAAACTAGCCAGGGCGTAGTACCTTCCTATTTAAATGCTCAAAGATCTGCTAAGTAAGATCATTATCAAGTATATAATCTGAGATAATTTTGCAGTAAAAAATTAGGCATTTGTAGATCACAGAGGTACAACGGTCTAGGACATTTCACTGTCTATCTTGGAGTGAGTGAGTGAGTTTAGTTTTACGACGCTTTTAGCAATATTACAGTAATATCACGGCGGGGGACACCAGAAATAGGCAACACACATTGTACCCGTTGTAAGCTACGATTTCAAACAGGTGCCTGAGCAGTGAATAACAGTGAAAAAGCATAAATGTATGTGTATTGTCCTCCACTTTCCATGGATAGAGCGACTTGCGCGTGCAAGTCATTGACATTTAGTGCCAGGTGTATTTCTATGTTGACAATTTGAATAAAACATGTGTCATTTGTAACAGAATGTATTGGGCGTTAAAGAACGTAATAATGGCATTTAAAAAAACATGGTATTTTGTGCTACCGTCATGGTCCATCCTGTTGTAGAGGGCGTCCAGGTCGGAAGACGTCACTACACCGCTCTGGTCGTCGTCGTACTCCAGGAACAGGCCGTTTCCGATGATGTTGAGAGTTGGCTCCGTCACCCCCCAGTGGAAGTCGAACTCGGCCCGGGAAACCTCACCGTCTCCTAGAAACCAACATAGATAACTGACAATCGTAAAAACACTTTGTATGGTGCGTGAAAATGTAAATGAGTGTTCTTTTTCTTATAAACAATATCTGATCCTCAAATATTAGAAAATCAGTCTAACAAAAATTAGACTCAGTATTATTCGTTACACTGCTATACTGAGTCTAACAAAACCTTGTGGAAGGTCGCGTCAGGTAACCTTTTCAATTGACCAATCAGAACAGCTTACCAAATCGAGAAAGTTTGCGAAAGTATATCAGTATGACGAATAATACTGAGTCTAAGTTTACTTAGACTGATTAGAAAATACCCCTTTTGCTCAACGCTGTCCATTTGAATGGAAGAAATATCATGCGCAAGTTGGCGAAAGTGGGCGAAAAGTTGGCGAAAGTATAGCAGTGTGACGAATAATACTGAGCTTAAGTTTACTTAGACTGATTAGAAAATACCCCTTTTGCTCAACGCTGTCCATTTGAATGGAAGAAATATCATGCGCAAGTTGGCGAAAGTGGGCGAAAAGTTGGCGAAAGTATAGCAGTGTGACGAATAATACTGAGCCTAAGTTTACTTAGACTGATTAGAAAATACCCCTTTTGCTCAACGCTGTCCATTTGAATGGAGGAAATATCATGCGCAAGGAGCTCTGATTTCTATTGATATTTAATTTTGTCAGTCTCCATAAACGAACCCAAAAGAAGATAGTAACGGATATCAAAGGGCTAAAAATGTAACTACACTAAAATACCGAAGTACTAAAAACTTGAGTCGAGTTGCGCACATCGTTTGCGCAGTTCTAAAGTTTTCAAAGCTGGCGGAAGGTATCCGGTATTCTGTAGTGTATCCAAAAATCAAGCCCAAACAGCCAATCGAAACACTGTTCATTTGCGCCAGGCCACAGACAATTAGAAATCGCTATTAGCAAGCAGCTTATTTGCATGCTCATCGACCACGTGTTGTAAACCCGTTAAAACGTCACATTATAGCCAGATGCCTGTGATGAAATCTTGGTGGATCGCGTGACGTTTTCAGATAAACCGAGATTAGCACGAACGAATGTCATGCAAACGTCATTGTAAGGAACATGACCGATTTGAGGTTGGTTTGTAAATGATATGGAGCGGGATTACAGCGACTGTCAGCATGCCAATGCATGGAATGGTCACTGACCATTACCAACGAGGTAGGGTACTCTTACCGTTGGTGTCGTAGTCATGGATGAACGTCTGGACGTCGGACCTGTCGAATTTTCCATTGTTGTTGAAGTCGAACGACTCCCACAGCCTTTCCGTTTCCTGGTGTACGTGGTGTTCCCAGGCGCTGACGGGGTCCGTGGCAGGAGCGCTACCAGGGAAGACAACAGCGTACATGTATCAACTTAGAACAGACATTTCGTATTATGTTGTAGTTTCAGCGTTTTTGTTTTCACTCCGACCATTGTCCCCACTACATACCCAGAGACATCAACACAGTGTGTATTAGATTATGACTCCGGTCAGTAGACTTGTGTGCGGATATTGTGTAAGTTTTAGGGATGTCTCGATACATTAAATTTCATGAATCGATACGTATCACGATACCTATTTTCGCGGCATTATTGCGTAAATTTAGTTACATTTTGAACATTAATATTTAATTTTTTATAATTGTACATGAAAAGATCAACATTTTTTATTCTCAGAGATTAGAAAGTTCTAATTTCCCATCTTTGAGCATGAAAAATAATCATTTATAACTCTCATAACATCAAGGAACATGATACAATTGCAAAATGTAAACGATGCTTAAACATATTTAAACTGATACTTTCAAAACTAAATATCGATACAGTTTTGAATGTATCGATAATTGTATTGTCTTAGAAAAAGTATCGATGCATCGATGTTTCGTGGCATCCCTAGTAAGTATTGTTATCGAGCAATCTCGAAATATACTGAACAACATTAGAAACGCACCACACTAAAATGCACCAACGATGCTCAGATATGGTACATTTAAGTCTGACAGGGATTTTTCGTATTATATGGGTGATGCGTTTCTAATGTTGTTCAGTATATAAGCCAACCTTGAAATATACTGAGGGAAACAAATAAGGGAACACCACTTCATCGCAGTGTTCCCTATCACTCTCAGTTTTTCACCCACAGTGCCATACAAAGCCTTTGAGGAAACCTGTGAAAAGAATAATGGAACACTTGTACTTTCATGTTTTGCCTTATTTGTTTCCCTCAGTATATATTCAACACATAAATTTAGGCCTTCCGTTTGTCGTAAATATGGGAGTTACGATCATCTTCGCGTTAAGATCGCTTGGTGAAAGGGACCTTGTCGGTAAGAAGTGACCTACTGCATATGCACGGACGGATATAACGAACAGTTTTAGGGTCCCGGTCATACCTGCATATTTTAGTCAAAATGCGTAAATAGAACTACGGTTATAACGAACTAACATTTGTGGTTCCTTTGAATTCGTCATAGCCATAATGTACACGAACGAACGAAAGTCGTTCAATAGACTAACAACTAGTCTCTGCAATGAATATATTTTACTGAAAAAAAGTTCATAGTCAAAAAAAAAATATAATGAAAAGGAGCCCTGAGACTTTCTTCATTTTCAGAAGCTGAGGAATTCTAGACTTGCCACATTTTCTAGACTTGCGTGGGCTTTCTTGGATATATTTACTTCAGGGTCTGTACGACAGACTAGTCGTTCACTTGTTTGACAACAACATTAGAATCTATGTCGAAACGTCGCCTATACAGAATAAAGAAGTTGTATATCCATAAAAATAGTCCTCATCCTTCATAATGTACTGTAATTGATGAGGTTTGCATTGCATTCCGACGACGAGGGTCGTTATTCATAATATCAATCACGCGATTATCTGGTCCATATTGGGTTATTTACAACCAACCTATATGTATAGCTGGGATAGTGAGAGAGCATGGTTATACGTCGATTTTAGCAATATTCCAGCAATATCACGGCGGGGGACACCAGAAATGGGCTTCACACATTGTACCCAAGCGAGGAATCGAACTGGGGTTTTCGGCGCTTTAACCACTAGGCTACCCCACCACCCCTTAGCTGGGATAGCGTTGAGTGCGGAATTGAGCATCACATTCACACGAACATTGACTGTGATGCATCTGCAAAATAGAGATGAAATTCTTTTCTGTAGACCTGAGTTAAATGACTTCAGTCAAACAGGTAATAGAATTTGTAATCCTAAATTTACGCTACGTTTTACCATTTTCTGAAAAGGAATTCTCTATTTACATCTTCCGGTCATACGAGCTGTGATAATTTACATCTATGAAAAAGGTACACAAAGTACGTGGTCGAGACTGCCAGATTTCTATGGAAGCCGCGGAGAAGAAAGAGAATAGTACCGAGTAAAAGATATTATTTCAGAGACATTGGAGATGGTATCCTCGAACCCATATTGCGTTTAGCCGTTACTGTTAGTGTTGATTTGTCTCCCTTTGTTTCAAACTGTGTCCTTTATACACTGATCGGTCAAATGGCGGGCAACTCGTCTGAAGGACAGGAATTATCGACCATGCCGAAACAAAATGTTTGTTGATCCTCTGTGCAAAAGCAGCTAGGTTCGTGTTTTGGGGCGGCCAAAAACTCGTGGAACAAATATGTATCGTTTGAGGAAATGCGTGCATACCTCCCTACACACCGAAAGTTTGTCTGTTGGATGAAAATATAATACAAATATCAATCTGCTCTGCTGATATCAATTATGTATGTTTTCTTTTAATACCGAGGACCAATAATCGTATCGTCAAATACCAATATCACGGCGGGGGACCCCACAAATGGGCTTCACACATTGTACCCATATGGCAAATCGAACCCGGATCTTCGGCGTGACGAGCGAACGCTTTAACCACCAGGCTACCCCACCGCCCGTCAACAGATGTTCTTACCCCAGCACACAGGGCAGGAGGAGGAGCAGGGCGTACTGGAACATCGCTGGAACACAGAACACATAGCTCGTCTTGTAATCCTCACACAGATACGCATTTGTAACATTGTACTAACTAGAACTCATTCTCTTCCCACAGAGGTTACTTGTCATATCTTCCTACGAACCTCTGTTCTAATACGGCCATATTTCCCGGTTCTCGTAAAATCCCCTAGCAGCAAAAGATCGCCACATGAATTATCTCCCTTCTTTCTATCCAATCAGAACACGTGTTACATCGACTTAGATTCAACTTGACTAACACAAGCAAATGTGGGGCCACAAATATCCCCCATCTGACGGGGACTTGTGTTTATGTTACACACAAGACGTTTAATGGCTAGCTTGTCCGTTGTCAACGAGGGCGCTGGAGACGCCACTGATCAGCCATAACTTGACTGAGTTCTGTCTAGAAGAAACGTTTGCGCATCGCGTAGGGGGAGAGGTTTAGTTTTCTCGAAGCATACGGAAATTACCGAGACCTTGCGAATGATCACTTTTGAAACAACGTCGCTGATTGCACAACTAAATCTGATTGCCTCCAATCACGAGTCTTGAACGCTCACACCGAAACTTAGCTGTCCATAGAATTGCTGCTGTATAGACTGGTGGCCTTTCGACACTCTAGAAACCTATGTGAGTTCGAATCCAAATTATGATTATGTTTTTTAGGTTCGCCAGGCCCATACCATTGTTAGTTCAGACAACCCCAAAACACTCACTCCCTCCCCCTAAAACACAAACACGTTCATCCCAACCAAAAACACCCCCACCCAACCCGAAGACACACACAAAGAATAAATTTTTATTTACAAAATGAAAAAATAGAAAAATAAATACCAAAAGAATCCTAAAACTATAATTGAAATAACGCCTCAAAATGTTTGATGGTAGGTTAAAACACTGATGAAAAGCAAACATTTTCTTGACATTTCTTGCGCATGCAGTTTTGGTACGAGGCTGTACTTAAAATATGATAAAAAGTATTAATTAACTTATCAGGCCATAAAAAAGCCGCGTATTACCGTGAACCTTACCTGTCTTAACGGTGAGAGTTAAGAAATGGCCATGTGGCAGGAGAAAGACTGCTGATATGTCGAGTCACATGACCTGGGATCGGCACGACGCCTGAAGGAATGGTTCATGTTTTTAAGATAGCAAGGAAAAATAACCCAAATTGGACAAACATGAATGGAAGGCACGCAGTAATCTACTGGAACACTGATATTTGCTGGAGTGACCCCTGGGTCAGAGCTCCTGTTTGATTGTCATTCGTCCAAGATTATCATTTATTTTATGTATTCCGACACCAGAGAGAAGTTTTTAAGTCAGTAACACTAGTTTTGCTTAATGTTGTAAGATCCCACTTAGATAATATACTGAGTCAAATAAGAAACTTCACATTCTTTCTTCAGGGCACTATACAAGAACAAGAGATGGTAAGATGGTTAAATTGTTATCATTTCATTGCTGAGATCTGTGTGATGTACTCGATACACTGACAGTGCCATAATCAGTTCCATTAGGCTACACCGCCGTTCCAAAACATGGGTATACAGAATGTCAAGTCACAAGAATAAAAATTCGAAATTTCTCAGATCAATATCGTGTATGGCCGCCCCGCGCATTCACCACTGCCAAACACCGTCTCCTCATCGACTGCCTGATGCTTGTGAACACGTGGTTGGGGATTCTGCGCCATTGCTCTTGCAAGGCAGCGCTAAGTTCCTGCAAATTCTGAGGTTGGTTCCTAAGACCACTAAGCCTTCTCCCAAGTGCATCCCAAACGTGCTCTATTGGATTAAGGTCAGGGGACCTCGATGGCCAGTCCATGACGTTGATTCCAGCGTTTTAAAGGAAATTTCGTGTCAACATCGCGGTATGCGGCCGAGCATTATCATGCTGGAACTGTAGACCTGGGCCATGAACCGCCATGAAAGGAACGAGTTCAGGGGTGAGCACCTGGTCGCGGTAAGCAGCAGCTGTGAGGTTTCCACGGATGACCAGAAGTCGGGAACGGTTGTTCCCACAGAAAGCACCCCACACCATGCAACGTCCGCCCCCGAATCTGTCGACTTCCTGTACACAACATTGAGCATACCGTTCACGACGTCGTCTCCAGACTCTGAAGGTAAACCTGGATTCATCGCTAAAGACGACTCGATTCCAGTTTCTCTGGGTCCATCGGAGGTGACGTTGGGCCCACAGCAGACGTTGACGTTGATGAAACGGCGTCAATATTGGCTCACGATATGGACGTCGAGAATGGAGATTGGTAGCCCGCAACCGATTTCGAATGGTCTGTGAGGACAGTCGACCTCTGAACATCTCAGTCCTGGTTCGTGTAGCCGGCAGATAACTGTCACGTAGGTGACGTAGGACGATTTGACGGTCTTCTGCTCGTGACGTCACACGTGGACGACCCAACCTTGGGCGATCAGAAGTGGTGCCAGTTTGTTGTAGACGACCTCGCAAGTCATACACAGTACGACGGCTGCATCCCATTGCTCTTTCGACGTCAATAACTGATCTTCCAGCTTGCAACATGCCAACGGCACGTTCACGTTGCACATTTGACAATCGTGGCATTTAAAGTACCGTTAGAACTGTGGTTTAAAAGTGTTTTTTCAATTCTTGAGGCCAATGCAAACACGTGCATATGAAGAAAACTTCGATGCGAAGATCACGTGATCGACTGCACACGCAAAATCTGATTAAGCACTAACGTCATTTGCACGACGAATGGATGGGTTTGAGTGGGTTTTGCTAACGTTTTTCTAGAGTCGAAAGATAGGGATCCCATTTCGGATACATATAGATGTATCATCAGAGGAAAACAATTCATTATTTTTAACAATTACATTTTGTGAAGTTTCTTTTTTGACTCAGTATATAACTCTTTAGCCCTCATCTATTACACATACATACACACACACACACACACACACACACACACACACACACACACACACACACACACACACACACACACACACATACATACATACATACATACATACATAAAACTGTGGATATATTTCATATTTTCATTTAACATGATATTTTGCATGGAACGAACTGAAAATTGTCGTATGTTGAATCATAAAAGATGTCGAGCAGTGAAGATAACGTGGTGAAGTTTATTGATAGTCTGTTACACATAGAAATTGTGAGATTAGTAATTACAAACAACTATTTGCATCGCCAAGACCGGTAACTCTCCTCTTTGGAAACGGGGAAGAGTGTGACATCAGAGTTGTTCTCCTTCGATAAGGCAGATTACATAGAAATATATTATGGACGCTTCTGGCCTAAACAAAAGAAAAAGAAATTTCGCAACGGCTGACGTTGTAGACTGTTGTTTCATCAAATATAGATATCAGTTTTAAATATTTATCCACCATTAACACAATAACTGATCATTATGACAATTAGAAGTTTCATTATCAGACTACAGGCCACAAGTTTCATAATCTGGCATGAAGATGGGCGGTGGGGTAGCCTAGTGGTTAAAGCGCTCGCTCGTTACACCGAAGACCGGGTTCGATTCCCAAAATGGGTACAATGTGTGAAGCCCATTTCTGGTGTCCCCCGCCGTGATATTGCTGGAATATTGCTAAAAGTGGCGTAAAACTAACTCACTCATTAGTTGGTTGGAAGCTGGGTGGGTGAGATGATCTGTGTTACCGTCACATCAGTGACCGTGGCTGTGGGTGATGAGGCAGCATAGTGGATTCTCAGTCCCGACTCCTCCAAATTTTCACTCACTCACTCACTTTGTTGTTTATTAGTTTCACACTGATGTTAAATTTCTGGGTAAAAATGTTAATTTTGATGCAAAGTTTGGATTTCATGTTAATGTAAATGGATGTAAAATTTGACTTAAGAAATATTTTGACCTTGGGGAGAGTAGTGAGCTTGGGTTCGCTTGGTCTAGTAAATCTGAATGTTGTTTTTAATGGCATTAACTTGTTTAACCTGTATATTTGTTATTAATTATAAAGATTGTAAATATAAAATGGTTTAATCCTTTTGAAATTAGATAAACTCAAATTTTAAGGCACAAAACATGAATTAGGGTAGACGTTATAAAATAGTTACTACTATATCTGTCCATTTCACTTCCAGTATGGATAACCAAGTAGAATAATGGAATTCCTGGGGAGTATAGCTCAGAACAAGTCCCTGTGTGAAAACAACGTTCCTTCCTTCAAAGGATTTGGGCGGTGTGGTAGCCTAGTGGTTAAAGCGTTGGCTCGTTACGCCGAAGACCCGGGTTCGAATCCCCACATGGGTACAATGTGTGAAGCCCATTTTTGGTACCGCCGCCGTGATATTGCTGGAATATTGCTAAATGCGACGTAAAATCAAACTCAGTCAGTCAGTCCTTCAAAACATTAACCGCCAATACGTTGATTGATTGCCTATTGTTGTTATCGAAATTACTTTTTTCAAACAATGGTGGACATCGTGTATCACCCGGGGAATTGCTGTGGATCAGAGTCCCTTTAAGCCACAAATATTAATTTCACACATTCACTGATAACCTAACAGTGAATGTGTGTAATGGATAACCATGGAAATCAGTTATTTGATGAAATCTCTTGATATTTTAGGGAATATATGAATTCCCTGGGGATCAAAGTGATTTCATGAAATCGCCGACTCTTTTAGGGATTACATGAAATCCCTGGTTTCACACATTTAAAATATAGACGTTTTACTTAAAGGTCACATGCAACCAAAAAATCAAACATAATTAAAACACAATTATCACTTATTCGTGACATATAATATACATTGCTGGTTATGAAAAAACATATAAACAAAATTATAAGCCTACAATCGCAAATCAAAAGTGCAAAATTGTGTACTTCGGTTTACTTCCCAAGAAACGAAGCAGCCGCGATACCGAACCCAGTTAGAGCGGGTGGGTGTGCACTCAAGTGTAACGGCTGGTTCATTTGCAGATGCCCTCACGGCTTATTGTGTGTGTATATGTAGAGATATTGGGTTTTGTAAATACATGCTCATATTTTGTGTATAACATTTTGCAATCAACAGACATCATAACATGTCATGTGTTCAAGTATCACACCTGCCTGTCTGTGTAATTACATAATGTGGCAGAGACCGAACTCGGGCCATAAATCAATGCATTTTGTTTATGGTGTATAGCCTGATTGGTGTTAAGTTCAAATTGCATGTGGTCAGTGATAGCAGCTGTGTATTGAATATTGTCATTAGCAGACAGGCAGGCGGACACACAGGTGTCAATAAAACAAGACATTGAGTTCTGTCTGTGACAACAACATATCTATATCACAGTTAGAAATTCTGTCAACGCTAAATAATGACATTGCTTTTAAGTATCGAACTGAGAAAGTGACTCGGTAAGAAGAACGTGTGGTGAAATTATATAAACAGTTAATTTACTGTCATAACATATAAAAAGCTCGCGCCTGTGAGATATCAGCAAAACATTAGAAAAATAGCTCACACCAAAGCCTTCACCGAGTATTCACCGGACAACCCGCTTCCAAGCCTATTTCACTGCGCACGTGCTATGAGCGCAGCCCAGCTGTTGAAACCTGTTTTCCCCCGAAAAGTCGGGGGAAAATTAGTGAAACGTTTGAACTCCGATTTCGCGCGTTTTTTTTTCATCGCGTTATTTTTCAACTTTATAAGTTGAATTTGCATTTTTGACGATTTGTTTCGGTAAGTCCATACCGAAAGGTATCAGAATCTGCAAAGTTGTGTTTTACGTTGCATGTGACCTTTAAATGAATATGTTGAGATATTATTCTCTGATAGTCTAAGTGTCATTTCAGAACTTTGTAAGAGATATATTGTCCTGATATACACGACTGAATGCGCCTAGCTACCGATCAAAGTTTGTAATCGTGTGACAGCGTATCCCACTTCTTTCTTCATATCCTCAATATTGCTTAGTCCCATTTGGTTTATTCTGTCCTTCATTAGTCCCCACACATTCACAATAGCGTTAACATCTAGGCTGTAGCTGGGCCAGTCTAAAACTTGAACATTTTCGTCCGACAACCACTGCTTTGTGTAGCCT